CCAACTGATGTTGTTTTAAATAAAAATTTAAGTGTAAAATCTGACTAGATTTGGATCAATATTAGCGTGAAATATATATCTAATTGCTTATTAATCCCTGAAATAAAAACTTCTAAAAATGCTGGCCTAAAAATGCTGCTGGGCTTCAAATGGGCTTAAAATCAAAATTTCTGTCGAATGGCAAAAGGAAACAAGTCGGGAGTTCTAGGTATTTAAGTGCGTGCGTAAATTTAAAAATTATTTAAAAGTTGGTTGGAAAAACTTTTCTCTACCCTCAATCATCAGTTTTGTTCAAAAACAATCCTCCATGCGGATTCAACTTTCAAAAGTTTGCAATTTAGGCGAACACCTTTAACAAGAACTGCACAGCGTTTTACAATCGATTTCCTTATTAGGGCTTTTGCTATTTGAACCACAGCGTGTTACATTTAAAGGTAGCATTTGTATATGCATTTAAGTCAAGCTGTAACTTTTACAGCGGCTGCTCTGTACAAATCTTATCTCAAAAACTGGAGCTTCCAATCACTATCAATTTCCACATCAAATCCTAGTACTAAATGAAAGTCTTACTCAATCTGCAAAGTGTAGGTCGATGCAACAACCAAGGCTTCAACTAAGTAAATGGTCAAGATTTCTGTTGTTTCATTATACGTATTATTAGCGGCCGAGATGCTCCCTCCAGCGCTATCATTTAGAAGAATACTTGTGGCGTACACTCTATGATGCAAATTTATTTCCGATGTGGTAGTGTTTGCTGTGAACTGTATGGAAACACTACCTAAAAATTGGAAAAAAACTATTGTGATAGAGAGCATGAAATATTCGAATGTGTACCTGTAAAGTTGGCGCTTTGGGCGCTAAAAGCCGCTTCAGGGATCACCAGATCGACTTCATATCGGAAAGGAATCAGAGTTTCCGGAAGTCGATATCCTTGAGACTTTACCAAGTTGAACGCGAAGCAGAAGAACAAGCTCCAGAGGTGAGATGGCTTCATTTTGTATGGCTGATTATGTTATATTAGATAATAATTTACCGGAATTCTTTGAATTTACCATCTGAAACTTACCTGGCCACCACTAAAGCTGATAAAGAAATTTTTTTCCACATATTTATAAAGTACGCTATCTTATCAGAAAAGTAAGCGTTTAAAATCTCTCAGTCTGTTTAATCCCATATAGAGCGAGTTTTTGTAATAATCTGATTTAGATTATTATTATTTATTGCGTGTGGCGTTAATTGCTGAGGCCAGAATCAAGGAAACGTCGTCGAAAASTATTGTCTGATTTTTAAAACCAACATAAACGCTAAGTACAACTAATTTTTATTAKCGWCATTGAGAYCTRTAAGCTCTACTATCAATGGAACATTCGTTACTTTATTAGCCGAAACAATATTGCGACAGTGCTTAGTTTGATGGGAAATGAAAAAATGTAATTYTTCGATTGTTTTTCTGAATCMCTCGTASGTTTACTACTTTTTTATTTTTTTTTATTTTTGGAGCTGTTGAAATAGATCATACATTGTACAATCAWGCAATAGAATTCGCCGYAGCTTTTCCTTTTAAATATTTGTTGAAAGTTTCWTGTTTAGACCAAGTATGAATTTATCTTCAATGGCGTAAAATCTTCAATTTGGTCATCATAAGTTCGTGTAGTTTAACCCGGCTAAGTGCATGARGATTAATAAATAATCGATAAAACGACTTGATTAAACGATGATTACATCAGAGCATCGATTTGCGATAATTAGGSACTTGTTATAGCTGTAGAAATTTCTGTGTGGGCTGATTACTGTGAAGTGGAATGAAATCCTTTAAGTTAATCATCAGGTTAATACCGCTTAAATTTCCAAGTCATGGGATTTCATCTGAGCTTCCACGTAGAAAAAACAGTGGATTAGGGATTTTACAGTAAGGCGTCTAGAATATTAATGAATTAACCTTCATTCAGTTCAGGTGCTCGCAGCATTGAAAACAAGCTTCAAAGTCCATAATTTTTGTAGAATTCGTTTGTCGAGAGTAGACAGTCTTTCACTGTTTATTCCAATGAAGCACTAAAAATTCGAGAAGCCGAAACTAATTTAAAATTTACCAGCAGAAAATGGAAATGGGATGGGCATTAAAGAATGAACCCAAAATGGTAGGGAGAATGGGGGACTTTCCGGTAGAACATTTTTAAAACCTTCCTGTTAGGTCTTTTGACCCAAAACACCAGTATTGGGCGTTAGTTATGAGTAGGTTTTATATATGACAAAGCTTCGCATTAGTCTAGATTCTTCTTAAATGGTAAATCGAGAAAAAGAATTTGGTTGCTTTGATCTTTTTTAATAGTGAAGTATTTGGTTGATTTTTACAAAGGCGATAAAAATTAATCCAGCTTTTGATCCTTCACCAACTGCTCTGATGTAACGATTCATTGAACTCTTCTCCATTCTCACCATTTTTCAACTATTCAGTTCCGTTTCTTGCGGTTGGTTAAAGGAACAATAAATAAACTGAATCAAAACTTCAGGTTTAATCATTAACTTATCATTTATTCTTCAGTAGTCTAAGATTATCTTTTTGAACCCCCCCACGGATTATTCACAGTCCAAAGTACACACTGTTGATCAGTCCAATTACCACCAAACCAACCAGACCGGTTCTACTCAAAGTGGTGGCACTGTCAACTTCAGCAGAATCATCTCCCTCAACCTCTTCTTCATCATCTCCATTTTCTTCATCATTGCCATCAGGAGCAGCTGTTGTGGTAGTAGTGGTGCTGGTGGTACTGGGGGTGCTGGTGGTGTCAAGCCCAAAGTATTCGTGAAGCGAAGCTCTGTGCGCTTCAATGATGGCCTGATTCTCATTGGCTGTATTCAAAGCGGTTTGGATTGGTGCGGCCAGTGTGCTGTCTGTGCCCACTGTGGCCAAGAGGGCTTCCAGCTGGGAAAGTTCGTTATTATCATCACGTTTACAGCTTTCGAAGAAAAGTTACCTTTTCAATTTGGGAGGTCTTGGTGATGTATGAGGATAGTCCAGTTAGCACGCTGCCTGCATTGGAATATCTGGAAAATCAAAGTGTTTTTCTTGGTGTTTTTAACCGAACGTAGATGCGTACACTTCCAGAATAGCAGCATAGTTGTCGCTGAAAAAGTCCAGGACTGTGTCCAGCCCAACTTCACCAGCAACATAAATAGTGGAGAAAACTGATCCGTACAAGGAGGAAGTGATCACGTCGTCATTTTCCAGTACTTTGGATAAGAATCTGCAAGACATTGAGTACCAAATGGGTATTGATTTACTTTGATTCCAGTACTAACGCTTTAAGGACATCAGTATCATTGGCGCAGCCCAACGCCGTCCAAATGTAGCTGGAATCTCCAGAAAGAGCGCTGTCTTGGTACTTTTCATAGAGGAACTGCCAGTCGCCGGTGATGTTGTCGCTGTATCTTATTGCGTTGCAATAGACCAGAGATCGAATGTTGATATTTGGCCTGGAATTAGCAAAGTTTGTTAAAAAACTGGTGAATTTCTCGGGCTTTAGGCCCTAAAATACCGCAAAAGTCTTCACCAGGACCTTTGAGGTTTTACATTAATATTATCAGTTCTTTTAAAATAAGTCTCTTAAATGCCTGTACGATTTTACTTAACAAACATCAACCATAAATCTGGGTGAAATTTGTATTTAAAACTTGAGTTGCGCACCTGGAAGATAAATCAGAAGAACTCTTGTAGGTTCTAAACAGGGTTTTGGCAGCATTTGTGCAGGTAGTGTGTCCATATTTGCAAGCGTAGGTGTTGATTAGAATGGATGTTAGAGTGTTAACGTGTTGCGACTCGTCCAGTTCATCCAGTGCATATGTGGACACGGCAGTCTCCAGCAACGACAAGAGATGTGACTGAAGAAATCCAATAAATTGCATACATTCACTCTGTTCTTGGTAAAAGTCTTCTTACCGTCAGTCTGGCTCCTAGGAGTTGACTAGTGCCAGTCCGTTGCAGTAAATAGTTGAAAAGCGTGGCTGCTGGATACCAGGTGAAATATTCCGTTTCGTTTTCCAGAAACTCCACGTTGCTTAGGACTTGTCCGAATGTTAAATAGCCGGCCCTGGCAAGGGCGTAGGAGTCATCCACCCATTGGGCTCTGTTGGTCACGTGGATGCCCGAGAAATTGTCCTGCTTGAGAGCGGAAGCCAAATTTTCTCGGAGGGTGCTATCGTAGTTTACGCGGTAAAATCCTGGATAAAAGGTTTTATGTGGTTACCAGGTCGGTTTTCCAAAAATTGCTTCCTGACCAATCCTTTTGCAAGCGCGCGTAATCATTCGCTGCAAATGCGCGCTTTTCTGTCAAAGAATCGTCACTACGAATCCGCAATAAATAAGAACTGGAGAGTTTGACTAAATATAGTGGAATATTGAACCTCAGCAGGGATTTTTTTTCTTGAATTGACATCAGCTCCGGATATTTTTCAATCGTTTAATCGCGGGTCTAAAAAT